CAAGCTAGTATACAGTATTAAATGAACAAGTCCTCGTTGTCTTGCCTATTCACTTGGGCTAGTATGTGAAATATTTTACAGTAGCTAGGGAGGAATTTTAAAATCCCAATCCCAAAATAAATAGCAGCATTTCTATAACTGGAGGTGTTGTTAAATAAAAATTAGTCATTTGGCAACAGTCTTTAATTTGCTGCGGTAAAATGATAAGGTTTCGGACATTTGAAAACTTTTTTTGTAACAGAAGTTTTTATAAATGTTTTATTTTTTGTAAAAATAACCTAAAAATTTTAATTATAAATTTGTATTTTTCCAAACTAATTTATCGAAAAACAACATGGGAAGCAATTAATGTTGCGACGCATTAGTAGTTTATAAAGCTATGACAAATTATGTAAATTAAATTTCACAGCTAGCTATGCATTTACATTAACAGAACACCTATTTTGTTATTCCCATGACAGATTTTAATGATTGTTTTGCTAAGCAGTTTAAATTTTTTTTATAGTTTGATTATTGATAAATTAGTGTCATACATCCTTATAATAATAATTATTATTATTATTATACTAAACTTGATTAATGCGGGGACAACACGTCTCAACACAATTACACCTCAAGCACGCATATATATTTGGCAGGAAATTGAATTACAAGTTGGGTCTTCGGGGACTAAGTTGGGCTTATCCAATAATCCAATTACACAAAGTTTGGATTTACTTGGCCACGATTAGATCTGAGTCAATGCTCAATGCTGAGTAACGTGCATACATGTTATACAAAGTAAATCATATATTCAGATCAACAATACCCTATGCATAATACAGTGATTAATTCTATGTAGATGTATTGCTTTAGTTATTCGGTAATCGAACACTGCTAAAGCTCTCGTCTCTTTTGCTATACCAAATTCTTCTAGGGGTAAAATGTACAGTTTTTTTTTCATGTTTCATGGTTTTGATTCAGATTATAAACTTTTTTCACAATATGTGTGGTTAAATTAAATATATAATTGAACACAAATAAAATGAGTTATTAACTTACCTTGAAACTTGGAAGAACTACTTGATTTATAGCACGCAGTTGTATAACCAATCCTAACGTTGTATTTACATGGTTAAAGCAAGAGTGTGGTTCTGGTCTTTGCATTGTTAACATTGTCAACAGTCCTTTAGTGGTGACTAGTGAGTGGCTCACATTCGTGTATTTATTTTTATTTAATGCACTTTTCACTACTTTGAATTTGTCTGTTTAAGTTTTAATCAAGGGCAGTTATAAATGATAAATGATCTACGATTTTAAGAACTGCTTAAAAATACTTTGGAACACATATTTTTTTCTTTTTGTAGTTTAAGTGGAACCCAGTTTCCCTATGGATCGAGTTAACTTTGATTTCGGTGCAAATTCGAACAGAATATACTGTAAATATTGAGAGCCTTTTTTCTTACTTTTTTAAATAAGGATATAAATCAGGGTATATTTGGATTTTTTCGTTTCCTCTTATGTGAAAAAATATAGTTAATAGTACATTTCGAACCTAGGGCCGAAAAGAAGTTTTGCCTTTGTATCAATTAATTTCAGCACAAAACATAACAGTTAGCTATGTAGTTAGTTATATAGTTTTAGGTGAGTTGACATCTGGACATCTTTGATAGTTGCATGAAAGGCTTATATATGCTGCTCAAGATGGTTGAAATTACCTCATTTTCAACTAAAATCTTGAGGGCTATGTTATGTTAAATTATTCAGCATAAAAAAATATTATTGTTATTCACATGCTTTGTAACGTAAAATTTAAAAAGAGAAGATTACAATTTTAAAGATTTCCATGATTTCATTAAACAAACTTTGTTAATCCTACTTAGATTGATTTAATTTACCACATTTTTATGAAAAGTATTTAATTGAAAATACGAGTAACAGTTTTATCCATTATATACATAGTTTCAATCACAGTTAAAACATTTAGTGTAGTAAATAGAGATTCTCATTAAGCTTTGAACAGTTCATGACTCGTAGAATACTATTGAAATCCCGGTCTGAATTTCCGAATAAAGTTTAAATGAAAATCACATGTATATTAAACCTACAGGGATCGTGTTGCTGGCTTCATGTCTGGATATATTATCCTCCAAATAATACTTCATACTTAACAAATCAATTATCAATTATCAATCAAAGGGGAGTCATCTCATTTTTTTAATTCGATTTATCTTTTATATTAATAATAACTGACTTTAAGGTGAGTGAAAGTATTATAAGTAGAATAAAAGGGTGAATAAATTATACGTGTACTAACTAACAATTGTTACTAACCTCATGCTATCTTCAAGCATAGAGGATTTATGTTTACTTGTATACTCATTGAAATATTAAAACTTGACAATAGGGGGGTTTTTAAACATCAGTCCTAGATGATTGGATGTATTGAAAAAAAAACAGTAGCTAGACACATTAGAAGTAAGTAGTTTTTGTTGATATAGAACAGACTAATTCACGGATAAAAAACAGTAAATCAGCGGTGTTAACTGTTAAACTGGCTTAAAATTTGCCTGTGCAACAATAGCGATATTTCATTGGGTAAACCGCCCTGATAATCAACGTGTATAGGTCCCTTGTGCCTACTTGTGGTTGGGCACGCGTGTAGTATCTGGTGGTACAGCATTTTACAACTCAAAATCAACAAAATGTTCTTTTTTCACACCTTTTTTATTTATTTTCATACATCAATATTTTCTGAGGACTCTAAAATATTGCTACGAATAAGTGATTACTCCAAATAGAAAGCAATTGTAGAAAAACTATTTAGTTAAGTGTTTCTGAGACCTTCAAGTCGAACTGTTGACTTTACATTTAGTCCAAAAGTGTAAGGGAAGATGACTAAGATTTAGTGGAAATACATAGAAAATATGTGAAAAGAAGTTTTTTTTGTCAATCGCCGTGATTGAAACACCAATTTTTCCTATACTTAAATTGGAAATAAAGGCACTTTTCAGTAATTAAATCTATTCAACCTTCAAAAGAAGTCAAAATAAATTAAATTATCACTTTAATGCTTTGTACAGTGAAAAACCTTCGGTATGAAAGCCTGAAACTAGCCTAGTCGGGTGTGAAAGAGTGAAAGGCAGCATTAGTTGCAGCTTAGAAGGTATCGGTATCTCTAATGGTTTCCTTCTATGAAAGGGTTGATTTACTTTATTGAAGGCTGAGAAATTACGAGCAGTGAAGCTGTTTCAGCGGCTAAACCAAGGCTCTCAAAAGCGAGTTGTACCTCTCACACTTTACAACCGACAGCTTTACGTTCCTAGATAAAAAATATAGAAGTACTTCCTACCAATAAAGTGTTTGGATCTAGTCGTTTTAAAAGCCATTAAAACACTTAACTTAGGTTAATTAATTATTTTGGCAGTGTCAAAAGATTTTATATTGGTGCCATTAATCACTCACAAACAAATGTTTTAAGGAATGATGAAAGTTTTACTAGCTCCCTTCTAATAAATTTATTAACTATTATGTTTTAATTTTTTACTATTTTACCTTTGACCTACCTATGTTAAATGTTTTAATGTGGGTAAAAAATCTCCGTAAAGGCCCGATATTAAAATAAATAAACAAAGTTGTTTAGAACGGAGGGATTGTAATATAAATGATTGACTTGTTTATACTTGACTGTTTTTTACCTGCATGGTTTATTTCACTAGGTTTTGTATTTGATGAAAATAATCATTACGATGAAATTAATATTTCCAAACTTCTAAAATGCGATTTTTTACAGTAAAAATTTTTAAAGATAAAACGGATCAAACGTTTGAATTTGGTTAGAGAAATAGATAAAAATGCGATTAATTTCAAAACACAAGTGTATTCTGATATTAGTTTTGACAATTAATGTAAATTAGATTTTTTAGCTGGCTATGCTTTTACATTGACAAAACCCTTTTTTCTGTCACAGATTTAATTAGGCGTTAGTTGTCCAAAGCAGTATACAAATTATGATTAGTCGTCCTAATAATAATAGTAATACTGTCAATTCTTTCATTACCAAGTAATTTCTTGATAATATATGAACATCTCAAAACAATTACACCTCCTACATAAGCCCACAGATACTTGAGAGGAAATTGAATTACAAGTTGGGTCTTCGGGGACTAAGTTGGGCTTATCCAATAATCCAACTACACCAAGTTTGGATTTACTTGGCTGCGATTAGATCTGAGACCATGCTCAACGCGGAGTAACAACCATATCCTCCAAAGTAGGAGGATTCACATAAATCAATAACATGGAATATATTATGTTTATCATTGCTATAGAGTTAGTTGTTTAGGTTATTGGGAAACAACAATAATTGCTTAAGTTCTCCTCCTCCGTAGTATATACAATTTTTCATTAACTAAACATCCCAGGTTAAGTATTTTATGGTCTTATTATGATAATAAAAAATATATATGGAAACTTAATAATCTAAAACAAACCAAAATATTTAAAAATCTCTGTATGTAAGACAACTTATTATTTAAACACGCCAAAACACTAATGAACAAAAAACCTATTTTCTTTCCCTGTTGTCTATCTAATCCACCTAAACTTCATAATACTAGACAATCATAGACAATTCTATAAAAAAAACATTAATCATTTCACAATTTAATGTGTGTCTATTATGTGAACACTGAATATAAAATAAACAAGCGTACTCTAAAAAAAAAATTATATTGGCCTTCCAATTTTACGAAACAAACTGGCACTACAAAAATACTATTAAACTCCAACTGGCACTCCGATAAATACTATCATAATCCAACTGCTACTCCAACAAATACCTTTATATCCCAAGTGACACCCCAACTTATATCAAATATTTAATCAGATATATTTGAATTTAAACAGTATAATGATTGATGCAGTTATCACACACGGTTTGTGTATCACATGATAAAATAGTATTTGCCTTAGATAACGACGCCTTCAGACCAGCTTAATATGGTGCATAACCAGTAAGAAATAAGTACTTTACTGGTACATTGTTTTGCAGATGTTGGTAGTTTTACAAAAACCATGGACAACAAGATTCCGCCACATTTAAACCCTAAGGAGCTACATTTGGACCCTGAAGTCGCGGCCTGGTTTTCAAAATGGTATGGAAAGGTAAGAGAAATTAAATACGTTTAATTATCTTTCTAATATTAAATTACTCAATAATTTTGTAAAATCTTCTACCATAAGGTTCTCGTAGTTAGCGAACGTCAAAATTGTCGTTTGAAATATCAAATATTTATATTAGTAGCTATCAAAATAGTAAAAAAATATTTCAGGTAAAATAAGCTACTACAAATTCCTTTCAAATTTCCGACACCAATGGACAAAATACTGCAACTCTAGAAATACTAAATGGTGACAGTAAAAGGCCTCAAATATAAGTACAATATTTAATATTTACAAGAAACTTAGTTTTCAGCCAACGGACTTTAAGAATGCGTAGGTAAAATTATAATATAAGTCGCATTATTAACAGTTGTAGACAATGCTATATTGTGATTTTAAAAACGAAAGTCTATAATTTATTATATTTCAACAGTGAGTCTTCATATTGTGTTTAGGCCTACAAATTATGAACATCAAATGATTAATGGTCTCTTTCTATTAGTGTTTAAGAGTGATTTTGGTCTGAAGGTTTGTGCGATAGAGACGGTATTGACCAAAATGCAATGTACCTCAAACTGTTTACGTCAAAAATAACTAAAAGACTCTTCTGTTACAGCCCTTTGTTAGTTTAATAATGAAAATTGTCTGTTGTGGGATATACGCCGCATGTCTTGTATTTGTATACCGTAAAACCAAAAGAAGAATAGACACTTCAATAAGCAAAACTCTGATAGGAAGGGAAAGAGAAAAGGATGCTATAAAGAAATATGAAGAAACAGGAAAGAAATATGATATTCAAATAAATATAAAACGTTGGTTTTAATAGGTAAAGGCTATATCAAATTATATACTTATCGTTTAGTATTTCTCTGTGTTTTATTTCAAATTAAAATTCTGGTTTCCTTTATATCATTTTAATTATTGGTTTTTAAACTATTGTTACAAACCTAACTTTAACTTTAACCTTACGATTTACTCAAAACTGTTATATACCTAAATTTCGTGCAAAACAAAATATGAATAGAAATATGTAAAACATTGGTACCACACAATTATACATTATCAACATTCAATATTACCACAACATCTTTTAACATATCAGTAACAATTTAATTACAATTTAACAACAAGTCTTTCCAGCTTAGAGTGTCTGTTTCAAAACGAATTAACTTAAAACATATACGTTATGGCCTAACATTGAGTGTGGTTGTTAATTGATTTACAGACGAAGTAGGCTACTTCTGGAGAGCCTAACACTCATTTTGGTTGTTAATTATTACAGACAAAGTACGTGTGGTGAACATAACACTAATTTTTGTTGTTGATTGTTACAGACAAATTATGTGTGGTGAATATAACACTCATTTTGGTTGTTGATTGTTTCAGACAAAGTATGTGTGGTGAACATTACACTCATTATGATTGTTGATTGTTTCAGACAAAGTATGTGTGGTGAATATAACACTCATTTTGGTTGTTGATTGTTTCAGACAAAGTACGTGTGGTGAACATAACACTAATTTTTGTTGTTGATTGTTACAGACAAATTACGCGTGGTGAACATAACACTCATTATGGTTGTTGATTGTTTTAGACAAAGTACGTGTGGTGAACATTACACTCATTATGGTTGTTATTGTTACAGATAAATTACGCGTGGTGAACATAACACTCATTATGGTTGTTGATTGTTTTAGACAAAGTACGTGTGGTGAGCATAACACTCATTATGGTCGTTGATTGTTACAGACAAAGTACGTGTGGTGAGCATAACACTCATTATGGTTGTTGATTGTTACAGACAAAGTACGTGTGGTGAACATAACACTCATTATGGTTGTTGATTGTTACAGACAAAGTACGTGTGGTGAACATAACACTCATTATGGTCGTTGATTGTTACAGACAAAGTACGTGTGGTGAACATAACACTCATTATGGTTGTTGATTGTTACAGACAAAGTACGTGTGGTGAACATAACACTCATTATGGTTGTTGATTGTTTCAGACAAAGTACGTGTGGTGAACATAACACTCATTATGGTTGTTGATTGTTACAGACAAAGTACGTGTGGTGAACATAACACTCATTATGGTTGTTGATTGTTTCAGACAAAGTATGTGTGGTGAACATAACACTCATTATGGTTGTTGATTGTTTCAGACAAAGTACGTGTGGTGGGTTCTCATACCAATCGTTGTGTTCAAGTGTGTGAAGGCGTTTATAGAGGTGGAGCTGTACTTATTGAACATGGCGTCAGAGTCATGGGATGAAGGTATTATCATGGGACAAAAGTACTTCGAGAGAAAGGCTCTTGCTGAAAAAATGGAAAAGGAAGCTCAAATGGATGAGGAAAATAAGAAAAATGAGGAGGAGGACAGGAAAGTCGAATAACAAGAAATAACGATTCAGGCGAAGTTAAATTTGAACTATTTAAACTGCAGACTAACGAGTGTGGTATTATTTAAATTCATATTTTGTTTCTATTTAGATAATGTGGCAGTGGACAAAAACTTGTGTGCGGTAGAGTGGTTACTGGTTATGTTGAAAACACCCTACATTTAATTAGGAAATATATTATAAATATATACATTTTTTTGTAATATGATTATTGATTATTGCAATTTGATGAGGATTGTGTAAAGAAATTATATTGTAAATATTGTATCAAAGTTTCGCAAAAATATAGATAGGGTTAGTATAATTTGGTTTGGCATCAATAATCTGTAGTGTTTATTTCTGATGACTGAAACTAACTAAGACCATTGCGCTTAATATATTTATTTAATGTATAACTTCATTTATACAATTTCTTATAGATAGAAAAGGAAAAACTATAAATAGTTCGTCAACTCTTCTTCAATTTTATATAAATTGGACAAATGTTTTATAATCGGGCGAAAACTATTCACAATGTTAGATAAACGACTAGTAAATAATATTTTATCAAATCCCAATAAAATGTGTGTTACTGTTAACATTAAATTACAACAGAGCTCCGTATACTATATTCCCAAAAGGTTCGTACAATTGTACAACAGTAGCAGTCAGACCGAATGCTGAATGAATATACATATTAAGTTGAGACTTGAGTTAATAATGCCAGGTCAATTTATCATTGTTTACTTTACCTTACTCAAACATATCTAAAAAACATTCAAGTATATTAAATGTTTTAATTTGATCTAATCTACTACATGACGTATCATTTCAACTGTTATCTCAATAACTTTGTTCTGCGGCGTGGAAAGACCTTAAACAAATGTTCATTGAATTGACAGTCAATCACTGAACGACACAGTGAAATGAACACGTTCGTCTCTTCAGTTTGCAGTGTTTTCGCTCATGTAATACAAAATACTTCAAACATTTGACGTGAAGAATCTCTGCTGCTTAGTATCAGTTAATTATTAAACTCAAATCATTTTTCCTCAAAACTAAAATGAATGATATCGAAATATGTACATTATTCATCCAGTGATGTGAAACTAACCAAACGAATCATCGAAATGGGACTGTTAAATTGGTTTGAATCGGTAAGTTTGCTTTAGCCACAACAACAATAAAACTGTGTAAATATATACATGATAGCTTATTATATAAAGAACTGATTTGGATTATGATTTTAGCAAATCACCATTCAAGAAAGTTAAAATATAATGTCTCAATCATTAGTTAAAACTCGTGACCATTTTTTGTAAATCCATGTTGGTTTGAGTTAAAGTATAGTTCGAACAAACACATTCCTTTTATAAAACCTACCTGCGTTATATCCACGTAAGGCATTTTATTCTGTTTTCTAACATTTCATTAGCTGTTTTCTAACATTCCACAATGTTTTCCTTCCATTTTTTTATGAAAAGGTTAGTTTTCCAACACAAACCTTTATATGAACCATAGCTCAAAAAGTGTGTGGAAAGTTAAGATTTGGATAAGTAAAATTAACAATCCTCAATCATTGTAGTTGTAAAACAAACCTTTCCTACAGGAGAATTGGTTTTCTTTTTGGTCTAGCTACTTTGGAATTGGTCTAGCTAGATCGGACAGTACACATTTGCCAGATAATACCTATTTTACAAGAATCTCATATTTTGCAGCTAAGTCCAGACGAAACCCTGTTTTACGGTGGCGCTTACACTTTATTTATGTGCCTTGGATATAGATGGATGAAAAAAGCTATGAGGAATGCTGTAGAAACCCAAAAGGGAAAAATTGAAGCAAGAAAGAGAGACGAAGAAAACAGAAGTAAACTATCATAAACAGTAATTGTTTAAGCAATGGAAAAGTAAGCCAAAAGCTTTATCGTTATAATTTGATTTCATTGGATCTTATGTGTAAAAATACAAAGATTTTCGTTTTGGATAAACGATGAAATCGTTCTTGTCGTTAGTGTAGGATTCTGCTTAAGCTATAATGAGATTACAGACCTTAAAATCACAATACTATTTAATGCAATAGCTTATAGTAGGGGCAGATTCGTGGCAACCATTTTTGAGTCATAATGTAAAATGAATAAGAGGTATAAACTCTCTTGTATAAAAGACTTAAAAGTCTTCCGCAACAGGGTACAAAAATAAACCACAGAATTCAAGTTTTCAAGGTACTTAAGAAAACCGTTTCTGATATGTTCACACTGATTTATTTTTGAACTTAAGACGTCAACGCAATTTATATTTCTTAATTTTTGTATCATCTGTTTTAAATTTTAAAATGGTCTTTGAGAAAAGGAATTAAAGTGCTGTAAATTATAGATTTTCTTTTAGTAGTAATTGACACCAATGTATATTTACTTCCAAAAGTTCCATGCACATCAGTGAATGATCCTGTAAACTTAAAGTTCAGGTGGCAAGGTAGTGCAGCCTCATAGACGAGTCAATTTAGCCCAAAAAAGCCTCTAAGATAGAACAAATTCCAACAAATGGTTTTTCGATGGTTTTTGGTAGTAACAGGTGTAGAAAGTACCAGGAAAAAAGTCTACCAAAATCGGACAACCGGAAGTCGGGTTTTTCCAAGATGGCCGCCGTGAGGCCCTCAAATCGACAAGATGACTGCAAATTCGTCGATTCATAGTTCCAGGATTGGCCGATTTCCACGAAAATCGGTAAACACATGTAGAACTATATTTCCAACCTCAAATATGAAAACTAGGCAGACAAAGTAACCCAAAGATGAATTTTCAGGGTAATATGTGCTTAAAAAATAAGATTTTGTACCTCAAATATATGTTTTTCTAATATTTTGTACAAAGTTTGTTATAATTTCAAATTAATTTTTTTACCATTAGATTCAACACAAAAAACCTAACAATTTAGTATATTGAATCTTTGTTCTGCTTCAATTCGTTACAGAGATATTGAAAGTAATAACTTTAGTATGTTTTCTTGCCGAGATAGCTCAATGTTAATCTTATGGAGAATAATCATAAATATTAATATTATTTTTCTTTAAACCTATATAGATAAGACTTTTTTTCTGCTTCATATTATCTGTTTTAATATTTATTTTACTAAAAATTCCTTTTTTGGCAGTTATCATTGCAGCAAACCTACGTATTCGGTTCCTCAGTTTTGATCATAAAGAGAATAAGCAAAAATCAATTTCTTATTAGTCCGAGAAGTATAGAATATAACCTAAAAACAATACAAGAAAACGTTTTATGGTTTTATGTTGTAGTGTTGGGTATGCAGAGTAACATAGTAAAAATTTCCAAAAATCGGTCTACTGGAAAACCCCTAGAATCAAGATTTAATATGACGGATTTTCTCAACATTGGAAAAATTATAAAAAAATCCTCATGCATTTTCATTGATATTGACTTCAGACCACCACCGATAATTATTGGGTGGTAATTTCTTAATTTCGATAGGGAACGTGTTTTCGGCCGTCATTTTGGATCCCCCTATTGGATATAATTTTTTTTTTTTTATGTAATGACAGTGTCATTTCAATAGGGGACGTGTTTTTGGCCGTCATCTTGGATCGGCCATATTGGATATAAATAATTTGTTTAATGTAATGGCAATGTTGTGACACATTATTTTAAACTAGATTTTCACGCCCATTCCATTGCCAAAATGAGTTTTTAAATATCTTTTTTTTCGTTTTAAAGATATATTCAAACTAAAATTCTCCTGCATACATTTCTTAAGGACGTTTCGTATTTTAAACATTTTTTAAGATTATTTTTTCTTATATCTCCAGTACATATTAACGCTTGCAGTTCGTTCTAGCCTTAAACATTTAGTGATGTAAGGGCTTTCATTTGAGCTATTGATCATTAAAATCTGACGAGTTAGAGACTAGTTACCAACCCCAACAAAATATTAAACTTCCCTTTTTAGAAATAAATTTTTATTAAAATATTTATATCTCGGGTTCTTAATACGCCACCAAGTTCTTTCTGGTTTCATATTACTCAGTAAATGTTTGGGTTATTTTTTTAATCACTAAATAAAATGTGACAAATTTAATATGGGTACTTAAGTTATGTACTTAACTAAAGACAAATTTCAAACGCCAATAATTTAATATTAAATTAAGGTGCATGACTCATTTTTTATTAGTTAGTCAGATATTATTTAGTGACTAATAAAATAAAAAAACCTAATTCTCTACTGAGTAATTTGAGACCAGAAAGAACTTGGTGACGTATTAAAAACCCGAGATATAAATCATTTAATATAAACTGGTTTATAAAAAGTTAAATTTAATATTTTGTTGGGATTGGTAGCTCGTCTCTAACTCGTCCAATTTTAATGATCAATAGCTAACTGAAGATAAGGAAAATAATCGTTACAAAATTTCAAAGAACAAAACGTTTAAAAGAAAAAAATGTATTTCAAAACGGATTTTGGCAATGGAATATGCGAGAAAATCTAGTTTATATAGTAATAATTTGTCACAACGCTGTCGTTACAACAACAAAAAATTATATCCAATAAGGTGGATCCAAAATGGCGGCCAAAATACGTTTCCCGTCGAAATGAAGTACTGACCACCCAATAAATATCGATGTTGGTCCCAAGTCAATATTTGGAAAATTGTGCATAGAAAATGCTTATGGTATCTTTTTTTTAAAATTTCCAATGTTGGGAAAATCCGACTCTGTACACCCAAAACTACAACATAAAACCATAAAACGTTTTCTTGTATTGTTTTTAAGGTTATATTCTATACTTCTCGGACTAATAAGAAATTGATTTTTGCTTATTCTCTTTATGATTAAACTGAGGAACCGAATACGTAGGTTTGCTGCAATGGTAACTGCCAAAAAAAGAATGTTTAGTAAAAAAAATATTAAAACAGATAATATGAAGCAGAAAAAAAGTCTTATCTATATAGGTTTAAAGAAAAATAATATTAATATTTATGCTTATTCTCCATAAGATTAACATTGAGCTATCTCGGCAAGAAAACATACTAAAGTTATTACTTTCAATATCTCTGTAACAAATTGAAGCAGAACAAAGATTCAATATACTAAATTGTTAGGTTTTTTGTGTTGAATCTAATGGTGAAAAAATTAATTTGAAATTATAACAAACTTTGTACAAAATATTAGAAAAATATATATTTGAGGTACAAAATCTTATTTTTTAATCACATATTACCCTGAAAATTCATCTTTGGGTTACTTTGTCTGCCTAGTTTTCATATTTGAGGTTGGAAATATAGTTCTACATGTGTTTGCCAATTTTCATGGAAATCTGCTAATCCTGGAACCATGAATCGACGAATTTGCAGTCATCTTGTCGATTTGAGGGCCTCACGGCGGCCATCTTTTGGAAAAACCCGACTTCCGGTTGTCCGATTTTGGTAGACTTTTTTCCTGGCACTTTCTACACCTATTACTACCAAAAACCGTCGAAAAACCATTTGTTGGAATTTGTTCTATCTCAAGTGCCTATATTGACTCGACTATCAGGTTGATATTAAAAGAATATTATACCTATAGTAACCCTTAGTGCAGCAGCTTTCTTTAAGTGGTGTTTGACCTTAGCTTGTACAGTTTGGTTGAAAATACAGGCAGTTAGAAAAAAGCCACATTTGAATACAATAGTACAGCATGCACAGATAACGATTTCAAAGGCAATCAACAAAACGGTAAAACGGAACACTGTAATCTGAGTAGATTGCAGTACATTTTAATCTACTCGGTGATTTAAAAAACATTTTTCACTTTATCAAGGTCTCAACTTACAGTAATTTGTGTTCAATGTGATAAAGTCCTGTAGAAAATGGTAATTCTATATATTTTGTAAGTAGAGGTTAAGGAATTATAAAGTGGTTTTAAATTTTGTGAAGTAATTGTATGTTATGCGTTTACCTAACGTATTATAGTTTACCTATTGTACTTATAGAGGATATTGTACTGTACATACATATTTATAAGTGTGCTATTTATTGGAGTTTTTGTTTATCTCGAGTAAGTATTGTAGTATGTACAGTATGGTTCATTACAGATATCCTACCAGACGATCGTACTAGCTAGTCTATCGTATGTGGTGTGTTGTGGCCTTCTGTTCAGATGGTTGTATCTCGGCTTTAAAAAAGATCTGGTGATAAGAAGACATCAGATGTGGAAAGAGGAGGGTATTCACAGTATACGGAACAATCAAACATATGATGAGCAATGACTCAATGATTAACGACAACTCGGAGTAAACATACATAGGTAATGTTGTAGGTAATAGCATAGATAATAGGTAACGTTTATACATATACGATTTTATATACTGCTTTGTCAGTATCTAAACAATCATTAATGTGTGGATCAGGGGTTAACAAGTCATTTAAACATCCTTGGATCAAAGTTTCAACGTTTTGACACTATCTGTTTATTTTTATCAATTATTGTAGCATATTGACAAATAAACGTATTAAAATAAACAAAATTTGTTAATTTGTTAACAGAAAACAAAATTCGTTATCAAGAAAAATGTATTATTGTGTTTATAGTAATAACAAAAGCTAATAATATTAAACATATATTGTTTTTCCAATATAGTTCCAGGTATCTAACTTGAGCATGCTGTACTAGAAATCTGTCGGGAACCCCTATAAATAGTGCTGATATATGAATACAAGATGGTTGACGGTTTCTTACAATCACAGAGTATCTGAGAAAACCTTTATAAATAACAGCTTCAAAACTGTAAGACAGTAAATAATACTATAAAAAACAATATGACTCGAATCCACTTAGGAATATATAAGGATTTAAAGTATTATTCCTTTTCAGCAGAAAAAATTTGAAAATATGGTCGTTCTAGAGTTTCTCAAGTCGGTAAGTAGACCGATGTATAGCTTTCTAGAAAATAGGATTTACTCGTAATGATAACCTGCATTTCTAAAACCCATGTTTAAATATTTATCGTTTAATATATTATATAAAAATATCAACTTTTTAGCTTGTTTATTAATAGTTTGAAAATTAATGTTTTTATTTTGTAATTACGTATTGTTTGGTTTATCATATACACCTAGGTTTAACTTTCAAAGCACGAATAATTTAGACATTGAATGCTATGAGTATTGAAATTATCAATAATATATAACTCATTGTAAAATCAGTCAAAATAGACAAATTAAAAGTCACCAACCTGTTGTAAATTATGTATCAAGTAGACTTAATAATTTAATAAAAATTACGTGTAAACATTGATAGTGTTGCAAGACCCACTGCTGTTTGCTATTACGTTTGAATCGGTCTAGATATTCAGCTGATCCTCAGTTATACTAAATAGTCTAATACTGTTTGTAATTTTAGCGAATTTCCCATATAGGGAATAAGCTATTACCGTAGTACTCATGGTAAGACCTGGACGCGGGACCGATTTACTTTTTCATTTTGAGGTCCCTAGAGGCCAAAAACACCATCCGTTCAAAATGGGGGGTTTTATGGGGTAAAAATGTGTTTTCCCCATTTTTTACCCGATTTTACCCCGCAATTTTTTTGTAAACCGTTTTGTAGAGCTTAAAAAAAGAAATAATTTAGTATATTGAAGCGCTGTTGTATGCCTAACGGTCACGGAGAAAATTCAAAAATAGTTTAATTTTAAATTCCCATGTTATTCTTATGGAGAAAATAAAAATTGTTGTAGTTTACTTGTTTATGGATATATATTGATAAAATTTGGCAAATTTATTTATTTCATCCCATAGTATTCACGTATGGTCAAAAAACACTTTTTACCTTCCCCGTAGCAGCAAACCTAAGCACTTGTTAAATTTAATGTTATTTAAATAGGGAATAAATAATATGTCTTATTTATGGAAATATTTGAGTAAAAATGTAATCAGAAAAGTTGAAATTCGCTTAGTCTGCAGGTTTGCTGCGGCGGGGGTATTTTGTTATATAATCATATTTACGTTATGGAGTTGCTAAGTATCCTTTTTGAGATCAAACTCATCAACTACGTGATGTCCAGTTTTTACTCTCTAAATGATTTATGTAACAAATCCTCCACAGGTATTCTAGGATATTCGTCTCTCTAAAATGAGTCTAACCATAAACGTTTGTTTTTTTCAATATTTTATCATTTCAGTGCAACCCAGTCGTGGCATCTGTTGTAATCACAACGTATCTGTTCTTACTTTACAAATGGTACTTGATGGTCAAGGAGTATATTTGGAACTTGAGAAGAATGTATAAAAAAACTAAGAGGAATGAGCGGAATAGAGATCTTCGGGACCAAAGGATGCAGAGAGAGTTCGACGAAGCTTTTCGACACGTTACCTTTGAACCTGAAGAAGACTAGAAGATAAAAGTGAGACAACGTCGGGTGAAACATATCATCTAATCTGTGCCCTCACAGTTCGTTTAGGAGCTATTGACTCAATCTGAACTATGCTTTGTCGATTTAAGTTTTGAAGAAATTCTTTCATGGAACAGCTTTGATTTAGAATAGCTAGATAGTGAACATGAGTTCTAATGTCACCATAATTTAGTCAGTATACTGTACTAGTATGTGTAATACTTAAATTAAAGTATTTTTTTGTAGAAAACAGTACTGTATAAGCGAATTTGTTTTTTATCGAGCGTATTTTGAAAATAATTACTTCTTAAACTATGAACCTAGTCTGAATTCCGTTGACGTAAGCCACGAGAGAACTTTTTGTTTGCTTAAAATTCAGTAATCCACTAAATGCTTGGAAGTAGTATCCATAAACAAACTTTAACCATATAGCTGATCTCTAGTAACTATTCCATCAAGACAGGTTGGAGATAATGTACTGTGTTCATCCCTTTAGGATTTTGTCTTACCAACCAAAATGTAATAACCATATTGAGTTTAAATTATATGTGTTTGAAAAAAATTAAATAAAACTGGGTAAATTGTCAAAACTTCGTAAGTCTTTCACAGAAAATCCCACTTATAATGACTAGGTTAAGTTGAGCGTGAAGTTTAATCAGATATGTACAATTATTTTAAATCACTGTGCTGTTTGATTTCCTGTGACTATATAACATGGAATCTCAGATCATGGTAAATTAGACCAAGGTGATAAAGATTAAGACAGAGGAATAGCTCCTTCCTTGTAGTAAAATCCGTAAGGAATGAAGATCTTATGAAGACTTCCAAACAATTTAAAAATGTGTATTTTATTTAAATATTTTAATTCAAACATGTAGGACAAACACATTTAGTGCATGTTTTACTATTTTGTAGCATTCATGTATTTTATTATTCAATTATAGATGCTCGAGTTTACTCGTATTTTTCTAATTCGGCACATAACCTCTCCGTATCCTTTTTCGATCCTCTGTACATAAACGTAGTGATCAACATGAAGAAGATGAAAGCTCCAGCCACGTGCCAGACTCCAAACCCTACTAGCCGCTTGGGTGACGAGAGTTCCTGAAAAAGGTATAGTTTATATTAATTGTTTTTGGCCATTTTGGTATTTTACACAAAACATTGTTTCATACATTCTACAGTTTATGACAATTGGTTTACATCGGATTCAAGTGTAAATCAATCACAGGATTGTCCTTTCTAAAATTTAAGTTTAAGCCAAGTATCTTATACCCCTTAGTTTTATAACCACCACTGTTGTAAACTCTATGTCACAAGAAAGTGTAATTTTAGCTTACAGAAAAAATTAGCTTAAGATCTAACGAAACTCTATTTTCAAATATAAACAACAACAAAGAGTGAGAGCAGTTTTTTTTCTTGGAGTACAAAGTCTCTTAACATGGTATGATTTTAATGGTTTAAATATATTATGATTTACAGATATTATCCCTGGAAATATCGGCTTATGGACAAACTTATGTAGTCTGAACAAACATTTGTTTGGTTTATTTACGTTTAAGTAACCTTTGTAATCTGTATAGCAGTAACTTGTTACTTAAATCCCATTACTAAAGTCCTTACTTTAAAAAGTCAAGTTCAGTATTTGACGTATTATGATTATAAAAACAATCGGTAAACTAATACTGCCAATTGTTATAAGCATTAAATACAAGTAAATCAACAGACTATGACATTAACCATGACATTTAAAGGTCTGTTATCCTTAAGTTTTATATGAACCTTATAAGGCTAAAATCCATTACTAGTAATTGAAAACAAACATCTTCATACGGGATTTTGCTTGAATTGGCCATTTATTTAAGTTTAACAGGAAGATTTTTATGGACGGACACTTTAATTATTGTGCCAAAAATAGGTCCGTTACGTGTTTTATCTAGTTTATTCATGAGTTAAGAATTTTATATTCAAATATTGAACTAAATCTACACGTATCTTTTGTTTACACTTTTACCAAGATTATTTTTTTAATACAAGCTAAAAATCATAAAGAAGTCTATCTCATCTTACAGTACATTTATTAACTAAACATTGTATGGACAGTTTAACGTGTTTCACTGACTATAAGGTCAACTTCACTGCTCTTAGAATAGCTTTACGACAAGTGAAATGTTTTTATTATATTATCAGAATCTTCTAAAGGTGTAACGTAGTACTACTTTTTAGTTTTTCTGTTAATTCTCTAAATTACAAATAATTGATGCGTAATGTACCATAAAACTATACTGTTAATAAACACTCTATGTGCACTGGTGTACTTGGTGCGTTGTTTGTGTATCAGGGTTTCTATTGTCCGCCTATTGTTTCTACTGTTCCTACAGTTCATCTGTTACATTTCACTGTTCCAACCGTTCATATGTTACATGTCACTGTTCCTACAGTTCATCTGTTACATTTCACTGTTCCTACAGTTCATCTGTTACCTTTCACTGTTACATTTCACTGTTCCTACAGTTCATCTGTTACATGTCACTGTTCCTACAGTTCTTCTGTTACATGTCACTGTTCCTACAGTTCATCTGTTACATGTCACTGTTCCTACAGTTCTTCTGTTACATGTCTCTGTTCCTACAGTTCATCTGTTACATTTCACTGTTCCTACAGTTCATCTGTTACATTTAACTGTTCCTACAATTAATTCACTTGTTCCATCCAGTTCGTACAGTTAATCAGTTTCACTTCACTGTTGCATTCTATTAAAACATTCTACTCGTCATTAGACTGGCTCCTTCAGCCTCCGTAGTTAACGTGTTCTTCAACTGCCTCTTGTGGTACCATTCCGCTACATACTTGTGGATATCCGCAAACATACCATTCAGCCCCACAAGGCCTATCACATATCCTACAGCCATACAGGCTGTCCACAGTATAGGGTGCATTGGGGGTGTTGTCACTTCCTTTCCTTAATTATCTTGTGTTAAATGTTGATTTTGTTTGAGTTCTTCGAATTGGCCTTGGTGTTGGGAATGAATCACTTTCTTCAGGTACCTTTAATCACGCCATTACTCAACTCAAGAATGATTATCAACCTCTAGAACGGTTAATAATGATTCCTTATACAGGGTGGCAATTAAGTCTTAGGACGACTTCATAACTTTACAACGAAAAGAGATATCACAACCAAATTTGGCACGTCATTACTGGTAATAGTAAGCTACTTTTCTGTGTACGGTGATCAGATGTCACGTATAGGGGACGGCTCACAGGGAGTAAGTTAAATATTTTAATGGTAAGCATATATTGATATGTGCATCAAATTTAAGGTTTTAATGAACTAAAGAATGCCGCAAACCAGATCTCAAATAGACAACAGAGTCAAAAATGGCATCCGTTCAAAGATTTCTAGAATCTGCCATTTTGAATCTTTAAATGGCTGCAATTTTTTTACTCAGTTGTTCTTTTAAGCTCAAATTTGTGGCATTGTATTCTACAAATAAAGCCTTTAATTTTATATGAATATCGACTTATGCTTACGTTTATGATTTTCTGTCGTCTTCTGGCAAGCGCCCCCTGACGAGGTAGCGTAAAATATATTTGCAAATTCAATGCATCTTTGAGCAGCTGTAATTTTTGGCTTGATTGTACATTTGAGGTCCGGTTTGCACCATTGTTTTCAGTTTAACAGGTTCTTTAATTTTATGAACATATCAACCTATGCTTACCTTTAAGATTGTCAACTTACTCCCTATGGGCAATCCCCTATAGATGACATCCGATCACCATGTACAAATAAGTAGCTTACTACTACCAGTAATTTATTACAAATTTGGTTGTGATATATTTTTTTGTGTTAAGGTTATAAAATTGTCCTAAGACTTAATTGTCACAATGTACATCAAAATAATTAGTATACTATTACTTTTTACTTAAGTATTTCGATACGCATAAAAATATAGGACAATTTATATTCTATCAAGTAGTGAGAAAGAAACCATAGAGATTATGATAGCCCGACATGTTTTGCCGGACTACCACTACATCCTTTAGCACTTTCATCAAATATTTGTTGGTTACATTAATAGGTTATTTTCATTGTTAAATAAACAATTATAAAACATTAAACACCCCCTCTCTCCCTATGATTTTTAGAATTGGTCATCAAAGTAAAATAATGAAATTTCAAATTTTTTTATGTTTTAGATTTAGATGACTTCTGTTTTAACTTTTCTTTGACTTTAGAGAAAGCCATAAAAACAAACTCCAAACGTATTGCCAAATTTGAACTTAAACTGCTGTTCCTAATCATCATCATGATCATGATTATTTGCTCATTTTTGTCATTTTAGTATTTGGATCTCTTTTTTGTCATTTTAAGTCTTTCTAGGGGAATCCCGAACTGTGTATTAAGGTGTTATTGTTTCAAAAAATGCATTATGGTTTTGATCTTCATTTTTTAATAGTTTTTTTCTTGTTATTGCTATTGTTATTTTTATTTTTTTAGTCATATCCTTTATTTGTTGGTAATTGTTTTAGTTTGATATAGCTTATTTACTGTAACTTTTTGTAAAATGGACCATGGAAATAATTGAATTGAATTCAATTGTTCTAGGTTGAATTTTAAACTAAATAATCTCAATTTGATAGTTAAGAATAATATCAAATTTAAATCTTACCATTTTCTCCTACTCGACAACCACCGGACCTATAGGTGTAGGGTCCCAGTATTTAGCTTTCACTTTCTTCACCAAGTACAAGCCCAGCAGATGGGCGCATATAAGACATGCGATGTACTTCACCCTGTCGATCCAGACCTGTAAAGCGGTTCAGTTGAGAATTCCGATATATTGTGCATACAATTATTTACTTAAGCATATGTACGTATGAATTATAATGGACTACAAGGAGTTCATGTGCTTTACAGTTGATTCTAACAGTCTATAAAATGTTAACACTCTATTGAATGGTTATAGAAGTAATTAACAATATTTTGCTCAACCTAGCGTACTATACTAGAAATAGTATACTAGAGTTATTTATCGGTTCAATATTATTCCACTTACACTGCTATCCACAGCGAAGAACTCAGACACGCCCATTGGTCTCGATTTTAAGTTCAACTGTTGTTGATGTTGTTATCGCTAGCGGATGTAACTTTGGAATTGATAACTTAAGTTCATCCATAAATCTTTAATACCTTCTCGGCAAGTTTCATTTTATATAGGCCTATTGAAATCTACATTTTTATTTCATTTTGGGTCTACTCTTTTAACATTTTGAATGGGAACGGTCCAAACCCTCAGACTTGAAGGCCAGCTCGGTTACTTATTTAGTTCAGATTTGTTGTTGGCTATTATTTCCTATGAATATTTATATAAAATAAGTTACAAAAACTGTATCAAGTTGTCATCGTTGTTCCCTTGTGTGAAATTTAATATCATAAATTCTTCATCTTGCAAATTAAATTTTAAATAGTTCCTCCTACATTCTCACCATTCTAAAATATCTTGGTTCAAACTAAAGTGGTGCTTCCAAAAATTACCTGTCTGAAAACCTATGTCCATTTAAACTAAATTCAGAAAAAACAAATTGTTAACAAATTAATTATTTTTACACGAACAAGTCCTTTACTTAGGGAAACCTATATTCATTTATCAAGCATAACAACTATGAAACGAGTCGATATCTCAAGGGGAAGTTCACACAAATGTTCATATTCTGTAAATATACCTATAACACAGTTTAAGGGAGCTGTTATGGAGAAGTTGTACCGTATTTCACCCTGAACGGTTGAACAAAATAAAAGCCAGTAACGGCCAGACTGCTCCACAATATGGTCGCTTTGTTGCAGTATTTCAACTTTATTGGCTGCGATTTTTATGGAAACTGTAAACTATTTTACCTGTTGCCTTTGTGGCGGCGCTTAAACTGGAATAAAAGTCATCCGAGGCCGTTCTTTATAACTGCTTGCACTTTATTTAACGTTGACTTTTATCGTAATTACATCTATTTGTCTAGTTTTTAATAAGCTTTTAGGTCAAAATTATGTCTATGTGTATGCTGGGAAACGTGGTTAAAATCCATACAGTAGTAGTACAAAAGTTAAAAGGGACTTAATAAAAAAAAAAAACAATTTCATCTCTTTACTCGAGAAAAGATTGAGATTCGATTTTAAACTGAGCCTCAATCAGGAACTTAGACTTATCATTTTTTTGTTAGTATTTAGTCAAAGTATTTCAAAGACGTCATGTTCTTATTATAATGAGTGAAAATATAAATTTAAATAAATAAAGTGATAATTCTTTTCTTAGTCCAAAAGTGTAAGAAATATTAAGAGCTTGGGATACGCTATTAGAAACGGTAATTTTCTTAAACAGCTCAACCAATTTTTATATATTTGAGCAAAGTAGAGTCAACTCGTAATAAATACATTAATTCTTTCAATCAAGGAGCCTAACAATAAATCTGTATTGCTAAAATGGAGGAGTCTGTGATTAAGTAGCAGTGCCTGACACCTGCTCTGAGAGGCAGAATAGTGAGCTCTCAGTTCTAAGTTTATATCTTTGACGCGATAGAACCTTAAAGACGAACTGACCAAGTGTATAGTGTTAGTTAATGACTCAATATATGTTTTACCATTTAGACCAATTTGATATTGTAAATAAGAAAACAATTCTATGGAAACTATGTAAAATATTATTACCCTTACATTTTACAAGGACGCTAAAAACTATACTCGATAGAAGGACATATAATATAGACACTAAAGTGGCAATGTTAGTAGACTATCATAAAAAAATATGTTTGTGTCATCAACAAGAGTCGTAAATATCCCATTGTGGATCCAACTATGTTTAAACTTTTATCAGTTTCCAAAAATATAACCAGATAGTGAAAAATAAATTGTATTGTTCACATAATTAGTCCATTTTGTAATTGGAGATATTACAAGTTCCGTTAAAGATATTCAAACTAGTTTACCAAAATTAAATATAGGTAGAGTCTGACATTAGCACGACTGTATTTTCAACAGCTCATCGACGATGACGTTCGATATTTGACATTTTATAATATTTGACAGCACTCGCGGGAGATGTAAACATCTGGACACGTCCCAGGGGCTTAATAAATATGCATTTTCATCCAACATTCATACAAATATTTGGTTGAACGAGTTCAATCCTTTCTGTGCTATGCAAATGTTCGCTTGGATCTGCATCAGTATGTTTATGTTATATCCAAAATATAAAAAATAAGTTAAATACTAGTTTTAATGGTATTTATTATGCTTAGTCTATTTTAATTAATTTCTATTTTGTTCCCTGGTGAAAAATGGAATAGTAGATAACAGGTCAATGTAATGCACTCGTAAGGAATTTTGAGTGTACACGTGAATTCGAAATCTCTTTTGACGTGTTAGCTATAGCATTTTTTCATTATGAAATGCTATATCATGCATTTCTAACACAATATAATTGGTTGTATTATCATTTAAAATTAATGCCAGGGAAAAACGTTTCGGGTATTTTCACAGCTTCACAAATTAGGTATACGTTGAGCTGTGCTTGTTGAAAGTACATGTTTATGTATGTTGAATGCTTGGAAAATTCAAACCCTCCACCGAACAGACTCGTCGCTGTAGTCTTAGTCTTGTATAGCTGTTTTTATAGTTATAAATATAATAATTAGGCCTAAGTGGTACAGTATGATATTTTTATTGTTATTGAGCTAAAAAGAACAAATTAAGAGTATCTTTTTTGAAGTATGTTAGCCTAACTTCTGAGACAGCAATGATGAGGTGATTTATTTCGGTTACTGTATACTGTGTAATGAGGCCCCTAATAGTTACGCACAATAATAAAGTCTCCCTACTGCCACAGAAAACATACTGGTATGTTTTCTGTGCTGCTGCATATTAAAGCCGCTACTCTCACAATTTGGTCGCTCTGATACAATGAAGTTTCTTTCCTTCACAACTTGTTGTTCTGTTTTACAATGCAGATATTATTCTACACTATCTACTTGCTATAATGAAATATGTAGCTGCCTTACTGCACAATGTATATTCTCTCATAATTAATAAGTAAGTGTGGTTTAATTTTGTCAATATATTTAATTGATTTGGGCAGTTTAAGTAACTTTTGGTATGACCTGTATTGCCTGTAACTTTTACATCTTAGTACTACAATAATCAAATAAAATCAAATCAATCAATCTTTATTCCAAGACAACAATGTACAAAAATCATACAATGCTGTATCAATGTAGGCTGTGTCAATATGTAAACAGTGAATTAATAAAACATTTCAAAGGTCAAAGCAATTGTCAAAATATTCTTCTAAGTCATAAAAACAGTATTTCAATAACAAATTCTTAACAGCTATTTTAAATTTATTTAATGGTAACTCATGAATATAATGTGGTAGGTGATTGAATAACTTAATCGAGGAATATTTAAAGCTTTTTTGAGTAATACTATAAGTACAGTAATAATTTCTCAGTTTAGCACAGTTTCTGGTCTTATAACTATGGATATCACAGTGGGAAGACAAAGTGTTTAAGTTCTTTTTACAATACATAAGACAGTGAAAAATATATATATATACAAATAAAAGGCATGACAGATAAACAACTAAAAAATGGGCTTACAATGAGTTTTCGGTAGAACACCAGCAATTAATCTAAGAGCTCTCTTCTGCAACACAAATAAAGATTTTACATAACCACAATTAGCCCAAAGAATGGTACCATACAAAGCACAATTATTACTGTGAAAGGTACCCTTGTGGTAGCTTAAACTGTAAAAATATTTGATCATCAAGAATTGGGAACAACATTTGGCATAACGCGTAGTGATTTGAAATAGTAAATTTAAATGTATAATGCTGTATTGTTCACTACAATCTCCACTGCCTCTTTTTACACCAATCACTGATCTTTCGTTTTGTTTCTTCCTTCTGTTTCTTGTTTTCTTTGAACTCTTTCCAATACGCATGCGATCGCCATAAATACCTCCACCACCACGAATAAAACACAGCGTACAATAATGCAAAGCTAACGAACACAAAACCTTCGAAATTCTTCACAAACTCCATCAATTATGTCTTGGCTCAATTGTCGTTACCAAAACAGTCGGTTGGTTTTGTAGGTAAAATAGGTAAAAATGTATGAGGTACCTTTGAAATCAAAATGTACATAGTTGGGCTACGCGTTAAGTCAATTTCAGGTTTAATGGTTGACTATTGTCATTCCTTATAAATGAGTGTTCCTGCATTGATTTCTTCCTATTATTTTAATATTGCATTGCTTCAAATGAATCTGATAGTTGCTCAATTTGCTTGATTTGGTAAAGGAAATAGATTTTATATACAATTATTCTAAAATTGAATATGTATTTTTCTCTAAAATTGTACAACACAAAGCAATATGGCTTGTTTAATTTTGTAATAAACAGTTTAACAACTACATTAACACAAACGCGTAACTAAACACTGGTCAATTCACTTTACATTGTTCATGTAGTAGTTTAAACTAACTTTAACTCGTTGAATTATCAAAAAATCTATTTAAACTATTTTATTCTTGACAGTACTATCTTCTCGGAGACTAGATAAGACTGACATTTATTTTATTACATCAATCACATGAATGAATATCTTTGTCAGCTTTTAGGTTGTATTCGTCTCTCGCTAAAGTAAATACAATTGTCGTATTCACCGATCAGGTTCGTTTATTAAAATCATGACTAACTGTGGTGCGTGTAAAAAATTGATCGTTGGAGAGAACGAAACGATTAAATGTGGGAAATGTATCAAAACGTTTCACTTGGGCTGTACTCCAATACAGTCTGAGGCCAACATAGCCCAGCTGGGAGTGAGAACGGAAACGTGGGAATGTCCAAAATGTACCTCGCAGTCAGAAGAAACCGTAGAGAGTTTCGTGGACGAAGTGGTCACAAGAAGTGTTATTGAAGATATTTTGGGAGAGATGAAGACGAGTTCCACACAGAAAATAGAAGCTGTGACGAAAGAGTTGGACGTGATGAAAAAGTCTGTTATGTACTTGTCAAGGCAAGTGGATGAGTACAAGAATACCGTACAACTGGTAGAGGAGGAAATGGGTCGCCTACAGACGGAAAACTCCAGGTTGCAGACCAAGAACGGGAACATGTGGAGAACCGTGATACGTCTGGGAGATGACGTCACTGAGCTGCAGCAGCTGAGGTGGAGAGAGGCAAGTGGAGGAGTTCAGGCAGCTAGAGAGGTGGTAGACGTAAGTAAAACTACTTACCACTTCTAAAATTTCCGTGAATGTCCATCCGTAAATTGAGGCTCCAACGATCCTCCGGCATCAAGCTCAAATCTGATAGCAATGTTACTACTATTCTAGCTGACTCTTACTCCTTTGGGATGGGGGAGTGAGCTGGCCTAATGGTTAGAGTGTGGGACTTTTGTCCAAGAGGTCCCGGGTTCAAATCCCACCAAATCACCGATAGATTTTATCTAAGTGATAATGCTGCAACCAGGGCTGGGGATAGTAGCTAGTAGATAGTAGATAGTAGCTGTACGTATGTATGTACTAGCTACTATCCCCGGCCCTGGTTGCAACCCCTAGGTCTAGCATGAAGTTATGTGAAACACAATCCCAGGCTCGTTCCTAGCGAGCTAGGACAAAAAACCTTTTGGATGACAAGTGTCGTCTTAACAGTAGTCGACAACGATTGGTGAGAAAATCTCTGCTCCCGCCCAGTGATTTTAAGTAGCTCGCTTGGCCACTATACGAGGTCTATAGCAACCGCTCTATATCTATAGGTATGCTCTATAGATTGTAGGGTATTTATAACCTTATCGGACAGTCTTAACTGTTTGTGGTATTTGTATTTGCCATATTTGTATCAACTTTTCACTTGTTATCCTCGTGTTTCAGGAGGTTGGTTCACCTAAAGCGGCTTTGGCACTGTGTCTCAGCTTTCTCTCAGTAGCTGGTATTTTGGGCTTCATCGCTTCAAGAGTGTTTAAAAGAGCAATGAAAATCATCACGAATGAGCAAGAGAAGCAGAACTCAACTTTCCTCTTTTGAAAATACAATTATCTTTTTTAGAAAATTTATAAAAAATTTAAAATAATATTTGAATTAGATCTAGCCGAAAAGTTAAGGAGCTCGTCAATCGTAGTGACGGCTAAAATTATGCGTTTCAAACTAATAACTTAAAGTAACCGCCGTTTATTGTGTTTCTAGTACAGTACATTAGCTTTTCATTGTTATTAATGGTCTACAGTCTATATTTTCTTCATAATCACGAACTAAAACTCACATAAGCCCCATACAACAGTGTTTTACCTGTCTTTCTGTTTATGTGTTAGCAATGCAACTTAGTCTGGTTAACGATATTCAAATTCATATGTTTAGACATTTTAAAGATGTGAATCGATGTTAGTAAAGGTTTAAATCACTAATATCATCCTGTTTGAAATTAGTTGAACAGCTTGGATATAATATGTAAGTATACAAAGTACCTTTTAGTGATTATATTTGCACTTTAAAAGCCGGATTTGAAGCAGTAAATCTTCCCCGACATAAGGGTAAATCCTACGTAACGAGATCGTTAAAAGTTGTTTAAAAGCCGAGAGAAAACGTGCAAACATCGCTTGTTATGAAAAGGTAGGCCAACTCAGAACTGCAGGTTTTACATAGGCATAAGCTCATACAATAAAAAATATCTCACTAGCTTATGCATACGACTAGTTTCCAAAAACAATTTTTCCTATCCCTTCTAAAAGTTAGGTGTAAAAATTGTGGTCAGCACTTAAAATATTTTGTTGACAACATTTAATCCAATAACAGTTACTAAAATCTACGCATTCCTGATTTGCACTTGATAACCATTGTTATACGTAAAAACTATTTTTAAAGTAAAAATGTTAAATAATTATTTTAAGAACATGTTAACGTACCTAAACTAACGACAACTTAGGACAACACGTATACGAGGCAAAGTTAAGACCGTATTTGTCTTAAAGAAAGTTTCCCGACTGAAGACGCTCAACTCATAAATAATCAGTTGTCTAATAGTCTGTAACCTCAAATGATTTTAAATTTTAGTTTATGGACGTTTCCTACGCTAAGTATTTTAACTACATTACATTAAGGAAGGTAATGAAGCTGTTCCACTTTTAAAGTTATTAACTATAAAACTTCGTTTACCTAACTACTCTATCTAACCTCATTGACATAACTTTTTTCTCCTCTTTGATAACATTTATTACATTACATAACCTATTAACGTAAAAAAAGAAGGAAATGTAGGCATGTTAGGTTAGATAGCGTACTTAGGTAAATGTTTATTTATAGCTAGTAACTTTAAAACGGAAGGAATTTCATTACCTCCCGAATCTTTGTGTAGTTAAAACACTTTGCGTAGGAAACCTCAAATAACTAAATAGGTAGTTTACCTTCTCAAATATGAACTTTTCAACACTTAAAAATATATATATTTCGGAGCCGAGTGTCCCCTAGTGGCTGGTTTACCTCTGCACAACACACGACAATGACGTCATGAATCTAGCAAACAACGCCACAGGGTCCAATAACAGATTATTTTCTTGCCTGATTTACAACGGGTATTCTGTCTCCATTTTGTCTATAATTTACTCCAAGTATGTTGAATTTTATGTTTCAAGAAATCTCTTCCCGAGAGACACAAAAACAAGAAAACCTAAAGTAATGATTGTACCAATGAGTAAAATTCAGCAAGATAATGAACAACAACAGATATAATGTTTGAAACCTCTTATTCATTTAACTACACAGTGTAGGTAATGCAATTAAGAGAAGGGTGTAGTAGGAGTAATAATTATTAGTGGGGTGGTTGTTTACACTGTGTATAACTCGACATTGTCGCAATATTACCTGAATACTTGTGGTAAGGAAATTATTCAAACATTAATCACTGGCGCTTAGAACCAACAGAGTAGAGTTTAGGACTTTATTTAAATATTACAGTGCTTTAGACCATTCCCACATAACGGTAGTAGTTTTTCCCCCAAACTACTTTATTAAATAAATCCACCGATAAAGAGTGCTGTAAAAAGAAAGTGTAATGTTCATTCTTTTTCAACAACTTCGTAACCATGCAAAATTTAAAATCGTTTATTGTAAGCAGTTTATTGTCTGCATTAACTATTATTGTATAAAAGTAAAAGGTAATATAAGTTGATGGTAACATCCACTTAGCGTGGTCCATCAAATAGCGTATGTTTTCTTCGAGGAAAAAAATAGCTCATCCTGTTTTATGTGGATTTTAAACTTGAATGTACATCTGTAAGTAGAGTATATTTTTAACTTTATGTTATACATTTATTTTATATACATTGATTAAACAAACAAATTCATAAATTTATGATTGAAAAATACTCTGCCTTAGCCTAAGTTTTTTGTCTTAGGACATTAGGCACGAGACCAGGATTGTTTTTCACATTACTGTAGGCTAGACCTAAGTGAGGCATTATCAATTGGATGGAATCCATTTGAAATCCATTGGAAGGATTTGAACCCGGGGATTCGGGGAACCGAAGTCCCGTGCACTGACCACTAGACCAGCTTTCTCCCCCATTAGCCTACGTATTAAATACTGTAAAATTTCAAATGATCGTATGACCACTAGACCAGCTTTCTCCCCCATTAGCCTACGTATTAAATACTGTAAAATTTCAAATGATCGTATGATTCATTTTCCAAACCAACCCTTATAACCCCAACCTAAATAAAATAAAAATAATATTAATATAAACATGTATAATATCTACTTAATAAAGTAACAGTAAGGACCCGGCCTCTCTATAGTTAACATAAAATACTATACTACACCAAGCCAAACCAATAAGCAGGTATTTGCCCAAAATCTGTTTCCAATAATCGAAAACAGCCTCAACCAAATACCAGTTCATGTTTATATATTGCTTTGGAAATAAAAGCGAAGGTTGTAAATGAAACCCAGCGCAAGGGCACAATAGTGGGACCGAAATTGTTTTTGAAATCGCGATTGGTTTTATAGGTTTGAGGTACGTGTTTTTGACGTTTGATTTTAGATTTTAAGAGATAAAGTGCATTTCAACATACCAAACTAAAAACTGAATCTCTTGTTTTTTCTTGAAAATTAAAAAATAACATTAAGTGATCATGTATAAGATATTTTCAACACGTTCTTATTTTTAGGAATGAACTTTAAGACTTAAAATGTAGTCAGCGGAATATCTTTTTTTAGAAGTGGAGGAAATACATTTCTTTACCCATGACTATAGTTTATATTTGTATTGCCACTATTATTAATCAACAAGCCTTATTACAAACCAACAACGTTCTGAAATTACAGGATAATTACAATTAATTATGAACTGATCTACTTCAGTTACAGTTACACCCTACACGATTATTTATTAATATTTCTCGTAAAAGAATCTCCTATTGAAAAAAAAAAAAAAACTAGAATAATCCACATTGAATCTAACCGATAGTTGATATTTTACACTCTACATTTAACAAACAAATAAACCTCCACGTCACTTACTTTCAAATATGTGTATCTTCTCCTGTCAACTTGTTACCTTTATTCGCTAAATCCTTGCAACCCTCGCCTTGTACAGCCTTAAATGTCTTCCTTTTAAGACTGGAATCCAAGTAGGTTATGTTATACAGCTAAATCCTACTCATATTTCGTCCATCATGGTTCACCACAATCAATACAAAACCATAGCCTCATTTAACACCAGCCACATGCCTTACGCACACCACTCATAGTTGTACATCCTTCCCTATAAACCAAACTCACTGTACACAACTCCTGCTTTTCAATCACTCATCACGCTCGGGCCTCTACTCTCTAACCACCACGTCCCTACTTCTTGTTCTTCTTTCTCTCGCTTCTAGTGTCTCCCAGCATCCTCCGCGCATCCTCCATGCTGTAGTTGAACTTGTTGAACCTAGGGTCGTCCTCGTCGTCAATGTCGCCGACCTGGGGGATGTCCTCTGTGGCCCAGCGATAGAGAGTCGGAGCCATCAGAGACACTAGCGTAATGTAGATACCGATGCCGATTTTCTGCGACCATCAGAATGTATATTTTAATATTGTAATTTTAATAGAATAGAGGTAATATGTTTTGTATTGGATTAAATGATATTTTTAAAATTATAGTTGTGGAATTGTGCCTAATTTTGAACAAGAGTAAGACCTAAGATATTTGATCTTTAGCACATAAATTATATTTATATAAAGGAGTCCCTACCACACTTATGCTAAATAGTTCCATTTTTTCTCGATGGGTGTAGGTACGCCTAATAGGTTTCCTAATAAAGTGTTGAATCCTGGACTCTATGAGATTAGTTTTGTCCTCTATTTAGTAGTACAATTTATTTGTTTCGTTATTGTTAAAGAATATGACAGTGAACATCTTAATACTCAGTTACAATCTTATTAAAACAAATTTACTTTTTAATGGAAAGAGTTATATTTACAGCAAACTGATCAACTACTAAAACCATAGAAAATATATTTTGAAATGAATATATATTTTAAATTCAAATTATATATGATAGCGAGCACTAAACTATTTAGTAAGTAAAACATTAAATTTCCCTATCATTTATCAATTTTGCAGGACAACCCAAAAAAGAGGAACACTAACATTTCCATCATTTTCCTAGAGCTTATCATTTAATACTGGCTTCCCTCATCTTAAAAAGACCCCTTTTGTTCTCGTTAATAATCAAGAAGGTACATTACACTCTCATTACAAAATAAATAAGTATATTTACCACGTCGTGGGGCGCGAGTTTCTTAAGCAGCTTCCAGATCCAGTGCCACTCCGGATCAATGTAGGTACCTCTGTTGACTCCCGGAGGGACCGCCTCTTCCTCGGTAATCTCCAGGAAGTACCTCTCACCATGGGGAGGGTACCACTGGCCGTTGTCGAGCTGGGACGGGTCTGGAGGCTCGTCTCCCCACACCATTGCCAGAGGAGGCTAAGTCCTAATTTGGTGGTGTGCGAATGAAGCTTATCAACTATGAGTCTCGATGAGTCATG